GCCCTCGAGCTGTCCTTTCTTCTGGCTGCTGTAGCCTCCTGCCTAATCCCCCACTCCCCGAGGGCACCTTCTTCCTTGTGTTCCGTCCCCTTCCTCTGCCTGAGCCTCACCTTCACGTAGGTCTAGCCACAGCTTCAGGGGATCGCCGGGCAGCCCTAGGGCCACACGGCTCTTCCAGGCAAGGATGACAAAGGCAGGAAGTGAGGGGCACCTGTCACAGCTCTAACTACCTGCAGGCCAGACAGAGGGCAGAGAAAGGAGCCTGCTCCCCCTTGCACCTTCTCAAGGTTTCCAGGGAGCTCTGAGGAGCTCCTAAAGCTCTTCTGTGCTGCCCGACACCCTGGGAAGATGCTGACCACCTTGAGCCTTGGGCGACACCCACCAGCAAGTCATCAACTGCAGAAGAGGAGGGCACAGGCTCAGAGTCTCAAAACCTGAATGGTGTAAAATACAGATAACGTGAATGCTGCCCTACTTCTCCCCCCACCCCCCCAATCTTGTCAAACCAGACAGGGCTCCTGCAGCTCAAAAGTGAGACAACCTTCCTCTGGATCGGGATGCAGAGAGAGGGGAGTGGGAGTACCAGCAGACCCTCCCCGCCCTTGGCCCCTGCAGAAGCTGATGGTACTTAAAAGACCTACTTTGGAGCATCCCTGGGCCGGGTGCTTTGCACACATTTGCTTGTTACATCGTCTTGAGGCTGGAGGTAGCAAACCCATTTTATGGATGCAGACATGGAGGACGGGAGAGTTCAAGACTATTTTCTTTGAGGGGGGCCTGGGTGGCTCAGGTGGTTAAGCATCTGACTCTTGATATCAGCTCAGGTCTGATTTCAGGGTTGTGAGATCCAACCCCGTGTGGGGCTCCATGCTCGGCGTGGAGCCTACTTGAGACTCTCTCTCCCTCTCCTTCGGCCCCTCCCCTGCTCTAAAGTAAATAAATAAATCTTAAAAAAAAAAAAAAAGAGGAATATTGTCTTTGAGTTCAAAGTTCAAGGATACGAGATCACTGTGAGTGGGGGAGGGGCTGGGAGTGGCCCAGTGGATGGCTGATCCCAAGTCCTTGGCCCCAGGGCTTCATGATAGGGGATTGGAAGGACCGAGAGTAGGCAGGCCAGGTTCAAGAGTGTTTTGAAGAGACCTGAAGGTCTTTTGAACTTTGGCATGAAGGTGAGTTTCCTTGAACTTTGTGAGCCTCAGTTTTGTTCCCTGTAAAATGGGGTTATTGTGGGGCTCCATGAAATGATGTGTAGAAAGCATCTAGTCCAGTGCTTGGTCTATGCTGGGAAGGGGCTCTGGACACCTGGCCCGTACCTTACGTTCCGGCTCCAGCAATGCCACAGGGTGCCTGGGACAGCCCCTCCGGGCGGCCTTGCCTTCTTGGCGGGCCATTTCCAAGAGCAGCCCCGTAGCGCCACTCAGAGTGGGGCCCGAGGCAGATGCTGTTGCTTCTGGGCTTGCCTCAGCAACCCTGTATTCCAGACCAGCCCTGGGCTGGGCTTCTCTTGTAAATATTGATGGAGGCCCCAGACAGAGAGGAACAGGAAAACAAAGGAAGGTTTATTTATGATGGAAAAAGAAACCAACAGGGGGGAAAAAAACCTAGAGGCCCGACAGGAGGGGGGATTGTTTAAATAAACCGTGGTACAGTCACTGGATGGAACATCACAACCTATTGAAATGGTGTTTACCGAGGGTTTGTAGCAACACGGAAAATGCGTATTCTAAAAAGCTAAGTGAAAAAAGGAAGCCACTGAATTGTGCATTCAGCATAATCACGCGTTGACAAAAATCAAGGCAAGGAAAAGGAGGCACAGGCTGGAGGGGCGTGCACCGCAGAGGGGGTGATCTTTGGGGGGCGAAGCTGGGGAGGTTTTTTGGTACTCCTGCATCTTCCAATTTTCTTTCCTACAAAACCGTGGTTGGCCCCACGTGGAAAGCAACCCAAACTGAAGTGGTTTTTGTTTTGTCTTAAAGAGGAAACTCTTTAGGGGCAAGCGGGATGGGTGACCCAGGGAGAGGCCAGGTGTACACAGGCTGCCGTGAGGCTTAAGGGCTCGAGGTGGCCGGACAAGGCTATCCCACAAGGTCAAGTGGAAGTCCTAGACTCCGACCCCACAGAGGATCATGGGCGGGCAGACACCGGGACACGCACTCAGGCATGGCGGGCGTGTGCGATCTGGGCTCTTCCCTTAAATGCGTGCCCTCTGCTTCTCTCCGGGGAATGTAGCTTACCATCGTACAAGAAACCTCTTTCCTGAATGTTCCCTCACGTGAATGGCTGGAGCAGGACGGCTGGGGTCCCAACCTCTTCACTCCGAGGTGGAGCTCCTTGTAGGCAGCTCTGTCCTCCCCGGCCTGGGTGACGAAGCCCCCACTGGTGCCCTGAGCACCAGCCCTGGTCCATGCATTTCCCGGATTTCCATCCAGGGCTCTGCTCACTGTCTCCTTATCAGGGAGGCTGATCACACGATACTACTTCTTTGCCTCCTCTGCCTTCCTCGCACGTATGCAGCATGGGTTCCATTCATTTGATTACGCATTTGTTTGTAAAAGTTGCCCGTTTTCCTCCAACAGAACGTGAGCTCTGTTAGGGCAGGGACCTGCTGCATTCCCAGGGCTTGGAACAGTGCCCAGCCTAAATGTTCTGAGACAGAATCCTGGCTCTCTTGGACCCAGGTGGTCTTTGCAGGCTCCCTGAACGACCTTGCTCTACCAGGATGGTCCTGACTGCTTGCTTCCCTCAGGCTAGCTCTGGAGACCCAGGCTGGTGATGAGAAACGCACCAGCTCTGGTCAATCAGGGATAAGTGCCTAGAGCCTGGTGTTGGCCCCCTTCTGGGGCTCAATAGGAAAAGATAAGGCAATCAATTAGTGATGTCTGCACAGGTAGATGAGAAGGGCCCCATATACTTCCCATCTCAGCTCTCCCTTCATCATGAAGACCGCACTCCACCAGCAGTGGGTCGGGAACAAACTGCTGTTTCCCTAGTCCTGGCCATGAGAACATGCCCGAGGCAATGGGGCTCTGAAATTTTTCTGGAGTGATCCCTAGTTCACCCTGGGTTTGGAGCCCTCCCCCATGGTCTCCTTGCTTGGTTGTGGTCTAGTCGTTGCCCGGCTGCTTGCTGGAAGCCTACCCTTGGGGGCTGGATCTGGCTCCATGTGCCCCTAGCTCCCAGATGGGGTTCACCTTCCAAGCAACTCCCAGCCTGCCATCATGATGCCCGTGCCATGGCCCAGTCATGTCACTGAGTTACCCCCACTTCCCCTCCACCCTGAGGGTCCTTTGGATGCTCATGTCTGAGTGTTGGCTCTGAGCTTGAGCATGGCCTTGGCAGGGAATGGGGGAGGTCACCAGACTCCAAGTTAGGAATAGACTAGGCAGCCTCACCTTCCAGGCCCTAGAATGGGGACAGTGGCTTTGAGTGGCCTAGTTCTCATCTCCATGCCAACCTCCCTGTTATTCCTTGTTCTATCATGCATTTCCCAGGAAGACCCTGGCTTAGCCCTAGCAGCTGCTGTGAACATGAGTTCCCGTCCAGACCCCGAGGGGAACTTGGGGAGGACTTTCTCCAGGAGTTCTCATTTCTCTGGCAGAGAAGACCATGAACTATCCTTCCCATTTTCAACGTTGGAACACTAAAATCCAAAGCTTCCTCGGGTCCCCACTTGTCAGGCCTGCCCTGCTGCATCCCCATCTCTACCTCTTTTCTCTAGGCTGCTTGTCACTTTAGAAGGGATTCCTGCTGCCCTGGCTTCTGGCTGGCCCCGGGAGCATCACTGCCCTTCCCTCTGTGTATGTGTCATCCTCAGCGAGAGAATGGGCCTGCCACAATAGATTGGACCGGTCTCTCTCCCTCCCCTCCAAAGAGGAATGGGCAACTTCCTAAGGATGGAGGATCTCTGCGCTTTCCACATTTACAGACCCTGATGTGAGAGGAGGTCCCAGGGTCCTGATGTGACATTAGACTTTTCCAGTTCCTCAGCGCCATCATGGACCCACCCCTCCCTCCTCTCTTGCCTGACCAGGTAGACCGGGTGACCACGAGCACAGGGAGGAGAAATTATCCAAAATCTCTCAACAGTCCAGGAGGGGTGCCTGGCAGTGGCTGTCCCTGCTCCCTGAGGTGAGGGCTGTGTTGTTTGGACAGCTGTATTGTGCAGGCTCTGAGCTCTGGGGAATGGTCAGTGGTCAGTTAGCAATGGGCCCAAGCAATGTCCCAGGCAGACAGGTGCTGACAGATCACATCTTCTCTTCTCCCTCCTGAGACCTCAGATATGGGACCACTGGCGTCCTTAGTGGACCACTACAGGATGAATGTTTTCGAATGGCTACTAATTGGAGGCTTCTCCTCCTAGTATACTAGGATTCTAGGTAATGAGAAAAAGTGCAGCGGGTAATGGTCAGTTTGCTCTGGAGGCAAGAGTCCCATGGGCAGCTCTGACTGTCGCTGATCTACTTCTCCAACCATGTCTCCTCTGGCCAAGCCCCTGAGGGCTTCCCAGGGCTCTCTGCACGGCCCAAAACACCTCCGTGTGTGCCCCAGGTGTTTCTGGGAACCCTGGAGGTAGGGGCTCAGTGGCCAGTGTTTAGGAAGGGACTCTGATGTCTCATAATGAGCTGGGCCACATCCAGCAGGGTCGGTTTGAGGGGCTATTGGGGGTCAACCACAGGAGCTGGTGGTTGGGATGAGGCTATGCCCCTGAACTTTGGCAGGGTCCTGACATCCCTTCCTCCAAGAATTCAGATTTGAAGCAGGGCGGCACTCGTCCTTGCACATGTGGCTGCCCAGTCCCTGATTCTAGCTCTGTATCCCACTGCCAGCAAAGCCGCATCCCAGGCCACCCCCCCCCTCCACACCAGCAGAGCAGGGCGGCTTAGAATCCACCCCTCGCTGGCCAAATGCCTGAGCTGCCTGTACTCCCAGAAATGGCTCACAGAGTGCCGGGTAGGGGTGCTTGTCACTTCCCGGTTTTGCAGCAGTCTGGTAGAGGGTAGCTAGACCCTGGTCTGAGGCACCTCGGGGAGGGGCAGGGTCAGGACGGTGGGCAGGAGGGTGCCCCGCGGTGAGGGGAAGCTCCGCAGCTCCTTGGGCACAAACCTGGGCGAGACGTGGTCGGCCAGGAAGCACAGCATGCGCCGGCGGCCCACGCAGTAGACGAGGTCGCCCACCACGGCGCACTGGAAGGCATCCGGGTAGGGTGTCCGGTACGCGGCGCACTCATACCAGAGGCGGGCGCTGGCACTGCAGCGGTACACACTGATGCCCAGGCTGCGATTGAGGTCAAAACGGTAGAGGAAGCCGTTGACCGCCACCATCTCAGCCGTGCGGTCCTTGCCGCCCCCCGTGGCGCCGGCCTGCCAGCGCTGCTCCCGGGCGGAGAAGCGGAGCAGCAGGTAGCGCAGGGTGCCGCCCGTGACGAAGATGTCCCCCGCGCATGCCGCGGCCGTGTGTGCCAGGGCAAAGGTGTCGTTGGGGAGCGGGGGGACGAAGGTCCAGCGGTCCAGGCGGGGGTCATAGCGTTCCACCGTGTTTAGACACTCGCCCCCGATGGCGTACAGGTGGCCGTCCAGGGCCACCAGCCGGCAGTGTGGCCGGGGCTGATTGAGCGGGCACACCTCGCTCCAGATCGCCGTCAGCGGGTTGTAGCAGAAGACGCGGTTGGAGGGCTGGCTCCCGGACCCCTGGCAGCCGGACACAATGAAGAGGTAATTGAAGAGACTGCAGAGGGCACAGCCTCGGGACACGGCCTCGGGGGGCAGACAGGCCAGTGGGTGCCAGACGTCCCGCTCGTCCTCATAGCAACGGAGACAGCCAGAGCCCTCCTGGGGGCACACATCGGCCACCACCAGGTGCTTGCGGCCCCGCAGCCGGCGACCGAGGATCAGCTCCCGCTCAGTGCCGTTCAGGCACCCATAGATGTCTGGGCTGCGCAGGACCTGGAGATAGTTGTCACTCATCACCTTGTAGGCTGCCTCCTGCAGCGCCTCTAGCTTCTGCCTCTTGGCCAAAGTCAGTACCTGGTAGCAGTTGCCCAGATCCAGGTGGACGTCGGGGGTGGAGCCAGGGGCCAGCGGGAGGTGGATGAAATTGGTCCCTGCCACCAGCTGCACGTGGGGCTCCCCACCGCTTCCAGATGAGCTGGACCCCAGAGAAGCCTGGGGTAGGGGGAGGCCGGGCAGGGCTCTCCCATCAGGGTAGGATGGAGTGGGGGCCCCCAAACCATCAAGCTGCAGCTGGAGCTCTGGGTTCTCCAGGATCTGGAGGAGGCTGTCCTTCCTGCTGAAGCCTTGCGTGGAGGGCGGCGAGGGCTGGGAGGACCCGGGTGATTCTGTTCCACCTTCCCGGTCAGCGGCATGGCCCCCTGAAGCTGCCCCTGCTTCCGGGGGGCCTGGCAGTGGCACGAGGGGTGGGGCCTCAGCCAGGGCAGCTGTTCTGCGGGCCAGCCTGCCCTTGGAGGTGGCCTGCGAGGTGGATTCCACATAGTAATCATACACCTTGCCCTTCAGCCTGGGCCCGACCCCCTCCACCTTCTCCTGCAGAAAATTCTCCTCCACATGCACCCGGGCCACCGACGCGTAGGTGTAGGAGGCGCTGGTGTTTCCCTCTTGCTGATGCACGGTCAGGCCCATGTCTGCAGCGGCCTGGAGGGCCCTGGCCTCCTCCCTGTGGTGCCAAGCTCCTGAGGCTCGGGTGAAGACCCAGCTCTTGGTTGTGTAACTCTGGCCTTCCACGTGGGCTATCCAGGTGGTGGGGATGGCTTCCTGCTCCAAGGGATGCCCCGGGGGGCTACCATCCAGCCACAGGGCAGGCTCACTGCCAACACTGCCCCCGTCCCCCGTGGTGAGGCCAGTGCGGGAGATTTGGGACTCGCTGCCCAGATGGGGGTGGGGGGGTAGCTCGGTCTCACCGCCAGCAGCTGTTCCGGCTTCCCGGCCACTGTAGCGAGGAGGCCCCAGCTCAGAGTCCAGGCGCTGCCCACCCCCTTCCTCACCAGCGCCTTTCTCCTCGGGCTCCTGAGCCTTGTGGGCTTCTGAGTCCTCTGGAGAGGGTCCTGTTGCCAGGACTTGGGAGTCCCCCTGATTCTCCCAGCCATGGCCTGGCACCTCTCTGGTCCCCTTGCTTCCCCTCCGGTGTCTCAGTACCCAGTGCGGTGACCTGGGAGCAGCCTTCTGGACCGCAGGCTGCCCGGAGCCCTTGGCTTCCTCATTGGCCTCGGCCTTGGCGTTCCTGCCCCTCAGTGGGGCCTGGCTGGGCCTCGACTTGTACAGTCGGTAGGCCACGATCAGCAGGAGCAGGGCAGCGGCGGACAGCACCACCTTGCCTGCCAGCTGCATGTCCAAATGCCAGTCCTGGGCCTCCGCTCCTCCTCTTCCGGGGAGCATGCTTCCCAAAGCCGACCTGGGGCTGGAGAATGTCAAGAATCCGATTAATGATTGCCCAATAGGGGCCGGTTCCTGCTTCCAGCGGGGTGAGCTGGAGGGGGGTTCTGGGCTGGCTCTGACCAGCCAGTGGCCAGCAGCGGGGGAGAGTGGGAGCCAAGGTGACCTTGAGCTGGCAGACCGTGGCCACGGGGGCTCAGGGCCAGCAGATCTCGGCACTGGCCTCCTTGTATCCTTCGATGCTTTTCCTGGGGGTGGGAGTCGGGGTTGTGCCCCAGGGCTGAGCTTGTGATCAGCCACCCGAGCCAGCAGCCGTTGGAGGATGTTAGGAGTGTCCAGCTCGTACACAAAGAGGGAGGAAGCTCTCTTGACCAAATAGTCACCTGATGCCAGGAAACGCACAGGGTTGGTTATTACGTGTGTGTTTTATTTTCTCTTTTGCAAATTCACCGGGCTAGGAGGGTTGGGTGTGGTGAGTTGGGAGACAGGTGGAGCCGTTGCAGGTGTGGCCCGAGAGCCTCCCTGTCTGTTTCCTTGCTGACGGGGTCTGCGGGTCCCGGCGGTGAAGTCCGCAGGTGGCAGTGGGGAAGGCTGAGTCCGGGACCGCAGCCACGCCACCTGACCCAGCTTGGAATGCCTCTGCCCTCCTTCTGGGGCTCCTGAGGGCAGATGGGGAAAGCACCGGGAGTTAGTGCCCAGATCAGGGAGAGACGCGGGGCCAGCCCATCCTTGCCCTTGAAAACAGACAACGTTCTCTGGTGAGAGGCCAAGGGAGAGTCACTGGCCCCCATCTCACCAGTGCTGTGGGTTCCAGATCCAGACTGGCAACCTATCTCTGCTCCTTGCCAGCTGTGTGACCTTAGGCAAGTGACTTCCCCTCTCTGTGCGTGAATTTCTTTAACTGAAGACGGGGGTGGGGGTGGGGAACAGCACATATACCTCATGAGGTTGTGACTGATGTGTGGACAGCCCACAGTGCTGAGCTCCACCTTGTGAAAGCTCATGAAATATCAGCCATTCTTCTCCCTCTCCTCTTCCTCCTCCTCCTGGGGGTCATTACCACTCATATCAACCGTCACCAGCTGAACCTGAGGCCCAGATCTAATTCTACCCCTCCCCAGACCAAGGTCCTCTCAGGGCACCCAGAGGCCAGGGCAGGGCTCTCAGACTCATGCTGCCTTCCGGGCCAGCAGGTCAGTGGCTGACCTGCCCAGCAGGTCGGGAGTGAGCTTCCTGCTCTCTCCCGTGTGAGAATCCCAGCCTGCAGGGGAATGCCACACTCCCACGAGCTGGTTTCAAGCTCTCAAAATTACCGCTCCCTCCTCCGCCCCAAACCCAGTCTGTTTGGAAAAAGTGAAATGAACAAATGAAGACAGGAGCGAAATTAAAAGATAATTGGAAGTCTGTATCAGGCTTCTGGGAGGGTGCGTGTGCGCCGCCAATCTGGGCTCTCGGTGCCGGCAGGACAAGTTGAGAAGTCTGGGGTTGGCTCAGGGGGTGGGTAAACAGTTGGAGCTGAATGCGTGCCATGCAAATAATCAGGCCCATCTTCCAGGGATTGGCTTTGAATTCGGTGGTGTCTGTCCCTCCCCTGGTCTGCTCAGCACCAAGGGTCAGCGTTTCCCAAGGAGGACATCAACCCCAGGTGAAGCCCTGAGTTGGGGGGCCTGAGACAGGGAGGAGGTGGGTGCAGGGAGGACTGTGGCCTCTCACACACACGCACACAGACAGGCACGCACGCCCCCGTGTGCACACACCCCCATGTGCACATGTGCATACACACGAGGGAGCGGGTAGAGCTTCTGAGTCCGGAAGAGTCAGCGATAAAAGGATCCTGGTCTGATAGATGCAGAGGCCAAGGCCTAGGGAGGGAAAGTCTGTGCAGCTGGGACTGGAACACAGGGCATCTGACTGGGCCCCTGGGGGTGGACGAGGAGGTCAGGGACACATTCCTATTCATCCAGAGGCACACGGCTAGTATTCGGTAGTGCAAGGATGGTTCTTCACGTGTACCAGGGGCCTTCCCTCGACAAATTCTTCTTGACACAGGATGGGCTTCCTTACACTCGGCACCCCCAGGCCGTTCCCTCCCCCACAACCGACCGCCACGTCCACACGGCTTGTTTAATGCTGCAATATTTCCATTCTGCCTGGGGAATAGTCACTCTCCCAACCCCACCAGCCTGGCTGCCATTCCCCCCAGGACCCCCTCCGTCCACTCTGCTGTTCGTGGACTAGAGGCTTAGTATCACAAGGGTCCTCAAGCCGTGTGACAGTGCCCTGTGTTACCAGGCTGTAAAATTTAGAATATTCTCCTGGGCTTTGCTGCCCCGTGGGCCCATGTTGAGCTCCATCTAGGGATGTCGGCACCATAGTTAAGGGATGGAGGCTACCATCTTGGTCAGGAATCTGAGACAGCCCAGGTGAGGCCCCACCGGGCCCCTGGTGGACCCACCAGGATGAGCGCCACCGGCCGAGCCTCCGGTGCCAGGTCGCCCGTCCCATCCAGCCTCCTACTCACTTGACCACCACAAAGCGCTCTCGTGGTTGTTACAGGCACAACCTGTGACCCACCCTTCTGATTCTCCTGCCCCGTGTGTCAGGCACCGTCACCCTTACTTTACAGGTGAGGGCAGCCGAGCTCCCAAGAGGTGAGGTTACCTTGCCCCGGTCCCATGGCCCGTGAGTAGAATGCAGGTGGGGCTTAGGTCCATCTGCTCTTTGATGTTGGCCCTGCACCCGTCAGCCTACCCTGCTGTCTGCGACCAAAGTTGACCTCCAAAGAAACCCGGGGAAGCTACCCTTGTTTTCCAAAGAGACAGGTCCCTGTTGTTCCCTTCTGTTGTGGGACAAGGAGAAGCCAGGGCGGGGTGATGCCAGGGTTTTGGAGATGGCACGGTGTGCCGTAGTCACCAGGAAAGGGAGTTTCAAAGAGTCAGGAATGCCAAGGGCATAAGGAAATGTCCTACTTACAATTCCACTGCATAGACCATCAGGAAGTGGAATAATGGCCTTTGAAACGTGCCTGTGAACTTGATGGGGAAATTGAACGTGAAACGATTCATGGGTGCCGCTGGAGATGGCAGCGTGCGTCCTGATTTTTGCTCCCGGGGCGGGATGAGCAGAGGCGGGGGGAACATCCCGGTGTTGGAGTATGCGGCATACCCACTGCCTGCGTGCGGAGATAGAGGGCCCAGAGCTGGTAATAACAGTAGAAGTACTAAGAGCCAATATTTCCGGGGTGCCCACTCCATGTCCGGCCCTGGGCACTGCTGAGGCTGCAGGCACTGTCTCCTTCCACCTTGTCACCCGCACTCTAGCGGGCGTAAGACCCATTCTAGAGGTGAGGACACTGAGGCCCAGTTTCTTGCCCAAGGCTAAGTCTGTTCTACCCCAAAGCCATTTTCCAGAAACCCTTGTTAGCGTGCAGGACCTCAGGCCCCTCCCCAGCCTAGAATCTTCCTGCTAACCAGATCCCTGCAGGGAAGCACTGTAAGTACTTGGGTCGGTACCCTGCCCACCTGTAGTCCCAACTGCATGAGCTTGAATAGCCTCAAGACAATGTGGCTTCTCCCACCCCAGGTCAGAGAGAGGTCCCACGTTTGTCACTGCCTCGTGACACCTGAGCTCTTGTGATAACCTTAATAGACATTACCATGGTTTCTGACCGTCCAAATCTCTGTGACTCTGCTTCCTTCTCTCTCCAATGGGTGTGACACCATTGGGATTATTGTCAGAAAACACATTAGGACGCCTAGGAGGACGCCTGCTGCAGGTACATAGCGGGGATCTCTAAATGTTTATAGAATATATTAGCCGATCAGAAGAGAAGCCATCACGGTTGAGGGCTGGAGGTGTGCCTTGCTCTGAAGTGTTACAGAGACAGGTTCTCATCTAAGCAAATTTCTGCAACCTTCCCAAGCAGGTGGGGGTTATCCCTGTTTTACAAGGAAGGAGCCCAGAGGGGTTAAGTTATTTTCCCAAAGCTACACAGCTAGGAAATGATGGACCCGAGCTTCCAACCAGGCAACTTTATGTCTAAGGGCCTTGCTTCCGGCCAGGCTGTCTTGCTCTCCTGTCATAGTTCCTACCTCCTCCTCCTGTGGATTCCTAACAGTCACTAGTCTGGCATGTCCTGCCAGGGGCAGTGAGACCTCTGGGCCCGGCTGTCCCCAGAACCCCATCCTAGCAGCTCATGGCTCCCCTCCGCTCTCTCCACATGCAGTCTCCAGGATGTCCTGTGGCTCCCCACAGCCTCCCCTATCAAATCTAAACGCCTCGGCCTGTTCTCCAAGGTCCCTTTGACGGCCCAACCTCATTTGTCACTGTTCCCAAACACCCGTTCTGCTCCAGCCAAGCTCATCCATTTACTGTCCCCTCGTCCCTGCTGTCGCACGGGCCATTTCTCCCACTCATGGCGTGCTTGCCCACACCTCTGCTGTTCTGCTCACTTTCGCAAAACCCCAGATCGAAACTGGGCCTTCTCCATGGGGACTCAAGCCAGGGTAACAGTTTTTCACTCTCTCGGGATCACAGGTTCCTCTGAGGCACCCCTGGAAGTTACAGACCTATGTTTAAGAAATGCATATATGGACGCCTGGGTGGCTCAGTGGGTTAAGCCTCTGCCTTCAGCTCAGGTCATGATCTCAGGGTCCTGGGATCGAGCCCCACATCGGGCTCTGTGCTCAGCAGGGAACCTGATTCCCCCTCTATCTCTGCCTGCCTCTCTGCATACTTGTGATCTTTCTCTCTCTGTCAAACAAATAAATAAAATCTTAAAAAAAAAAAGAAAAAAAAGGAAATGCTTATACATGTACTATTTCACTTGCAAATTCTGGAAGTTCCCTGGCCCTGGTTAGGCTATCTCTGAGTCAGGGAAAGGTGCATCCTGAGCTTGTGGGAGTATGTGTCAGATGGGTTTTGGGGGTAAGAAATAACACCAGCTCAAGGCGGTGTGTTTTGAAATAAATGTGTGTTTTGGGTTACTCCATGCAAAAGAAAGA